CCGACTGCGGGTGGACGATGCGCTTGGCGACGGTGTCAAATTTCCAGATCTGCGTCGCGTCACCGGTGCACTTGGCCAGCGCGACCGAGTTGGTGTTGGTGGCGTCCTTGATCAGCGACAAGCAGCCATCCTCCGAGCTCGCCGACTGGATGATGTTGTACTTGAGGTCGATGACGAAGCCTTCGTTCTTGTTGTTCTTGATCGTGTCGATGAAGAGCTGGTTGTTCCACTCGGAGAGCACCGTCTTCTTGTACGTGCAGAACTTGGCACCCACGGGCTCGGGGGCCGGCGCCTTGGTCGTCGGCGCGGGCGTCGAGATCGAGACAAACTTGCCGTCCTTGAGGATGTTGGCCACGTTGACGCGGCCGTAGCCGTACCGGTTGTTGGGCCACTTGGTGTCGTCGACGCCACCGCAGTTGGGCGCGCCCGGGTAGATGTCGGTGCCGTTCTTGTTGTTGGGGACGACCCACTCCTTGGGCTCACCCTCGAGCATCTTTTGGTCGGCGGTCTGCGTTAAGTAGGCGTAGATCTCCTCGTACGTCAAGTCGATCTTGGCCGACTTGAGGAGCGCGACGACACCAGCGACGTGCGGCGCGGCCATCGACGTACCGGCCATGTACTTGACCGCCGAGTCGCCCGTGTTGTAAGCCGAGAGCGTAAAGAAGCCGGGCGCCGAGATGGTCGGCTTGACGATCGTCTGCTGGACGTTGTGCGCATCGATATACGTGCCAGGGCCCTTGGACGAGAAGAACGCAAGCTTCGTCGGCTCATCCGTGTACGAGCCAATCGCACCGACCGAGATGACGTTGGGGTACGTGCCGGGGTTGCCCGTCGTGCCGCAGGCCGGGCCGCTGTTGCCGTTGGAGAAGACGGGCGTGATGCCGGCCTTGCGGAGAGCGGCGACCGCTTCTTCGTACACCGGGTTGAACTTGGCGCTGCCCCACGAGTTGTTGATGACGTGGGCGCCCTTGGAGCAGTCGGGGTGCGTGCCGTCCGTGCGCGTCGGGCACATCATGAACTGAAGGCACTGCATGAGCGCCTGCGACGAGCCGCTCTTGATGTACAGGCCGCGGCAAGCGATCCACTGCGCGCCGGGTGCGACACCGTAGCCGTCCTTGCCCGTCATGGTACCGATCGTGTGGGTGCCGTGGCCGCCGAGATCTTCGGGGAGCGCGGTCTGGTTGTACGGGTCGTACCAACCACGGTCGGCGCGCCACGAGTCCTTGATCAAGTTGTGCGTGTGGCGCGCGCCCGTGTCGATCGAGCCAATGACAACGCCCTTGCCGTTGAAGTTCTTCCACACTTCCGGGGCGCCGACCGTGTTGACACCCCACTGGTTGGTGATGTTGGCCGCCGGCGCGTCAATCTCCTTGGTCAAAAGCGGCTCGAGCTCAATGTCCGGGAGGTGCTCGACCGACTTGATCGCCTTGTTCAGCGAGAGCTTGGCGATGAGGTCTTTGTCGGCGCCGTCGATGAACGCGCCCGTAACCAGCCACGTGGGCGTGACCTTGTAGCCGGCCGTGACGGCTTCGATGCTCTTGTGGCCCGTCGTCGTGACCTCCGAGAGGATGTCAAAGACCTCTTGGCGCTCGAGCGGCTTGTTCTCAAGCGTCGCGGCTTCGAGGGCCGCGGACGGGTCGGCGAAGCGCACAAAGACGTCCGACTTGCCGTCGACTTCGAGCTGGCGGAGGACCGAGCTCGCGACCTTGGCCGAGACCGTGGCCGCCGCCGTCGCAAGAATGAGGAAGGCCTTCATGCTGTAGGATGTACAATGCAAATTGTAAAATGATGGAAAGCGCTGCGATGGCCCGGGCGTGGCGTCCTTTTTAAACAACAGATGACCGGCGCCAACTCAGAAGGCGAGACACATGGAGATAGTGGGACTCGGGGACGACGCGGATCAGAGAAGGCACGGCCGCTCGTTTTGCAGTGTACCTACTTGAAAACCTGAAGTCCCCCGGCACAGGACACTGAAATAACCACGATGGAGTGAACGCCACGACGTCTATGAGGTCGGTGTGCAGTAGAGTCGTGTGCAGAGCGAACTGCAAGCCACATACCACTGGTCTTGTACCCTCGGTGATGGGCCATCATGACGACTCGTCAGGTGCGCTTCGGGGCAAGTACGTCTTGGGTCAGGCGCACGTCCATGTGTGCTCGGACAGACGCGCGTCTCTGTGCTTTACAGGATGGAGCTCGCACACAATTTTGCCGCCGAAATGATTCAATCTTCGAATTGTCCAGCGAACAAAAGTCTCCTCCGAACGGAGCCTGTCAGCGCACACAACTTCTACATGTTGCTACATTTTGCACAACCTGGCCGCAGACGAGACACGGATCAGGATGACCAGCACGTTGGAGAGCACGAAGGAGAGGACACGCATCCGCTGTCGTAGGCCGGTCGTGCCGCAGAGAAAGAGGGGGACTCGCAACATAGATACCTGCATAGGTACCATAAATCTCCTCGTTGCGCCGGTACGAACAACGAAATTACACTAGACACTCATATGCACCCAGCATCGCTGGGACGAACGGTATCAGACAAAGCACGGCATGTGCGGTCAGCGTCGTCGGCGCACCTATCA